AAAACAAAACAAACAAACAACAACAACAACAAATATATATATATATATATATATATATATATATATATATTTTTTGAGACAGGGTCTTGCTCTGTTGCCCAGGCTGGAGTGCTGTGGTGCGATCATGGCTCATTGCAGCCTCGACCTCCCTGGCTCAAGCAATCCTCCTACCTCAGCCTCCTGAGTAGCTGGGACAACAGGTGCATATTTTTTGTAGAGATGGGGTTTCATCATGTTACACAGTCTAGTCTCCAACTCCTGGGCTCAAGCGATCTGCCCACCTCCCAAAGTGTTGAGATTATAGGCGTGAGCCACCGCACCTGGCCATCATTCTCTAATTTTTATTTAGCAAGAGGTAGAGAGAGCATCCATTTTCAGTGAATTAACCTACAAGCAAATATACTGAACTGTGAACTATAATAAGTAGAGCCATATTTCTTGAATGGGTCAGAAGACATTAGGGTTTCATAGTGCTAATGGGTCCCCAGAAACACCACTGGCTGTGCAGCAAGCACCCGACTGCAGCATGTATGCATAACTGAAGAGGGCACGTGTGACATGGTCTGACTGCAGGGCCTGCAGCCATTTTCATAGCCTCAAGCGTCGCCACATTTTGTGCCTGATTTCTAATGAACTAAAATTAGTAACAGGTGACAAGCCAAATATACACTTGGAAGGGTTGTGCGATGTCACTTTCATAGCTATTCCATTGCATTCCACTCATCTATTTTTAGCATGGAAGATACCCCCTTGAGACTGGAGGCCTGATTTGCAGACCTGGATTTAGAGAGAATCACAACACAGTTTTGCTTTGAGGATGGAAGTCAGCCTGGAGTTCCCGGGACCTCAGGACACTGCTGCTTTGATTCTATCACTTCCTTGGTAAAAGTCAACAACAACACAGAAACCCACAAACTCCAGGAATTCTCTACTGCTCACAGGATTTTTTTCTAAAATTCTGTTACTGATACTTAAAACTTTCTTTTATTTGATCTATTTATCCAAAAGTCTCATCACATACCATGCCCCCATGCAGTCGCACGGAACTGGCCAGTGCCTCTGAACTCTTCTTGGTCATGCCCTCTGCCAAGTTCTCCTACAAGCCATTCTGTCTGCCTGGATCTGTCTTGTTCAGGATGCCTGCTGGTTTCTGAGCTGCAGACCCTGTACCCGACAACCTTACTGGCATCTCCAGAGATACCCAAATGCAGATCCATTTTCAAAAATGAAACTTGTCAGCCTCCCTTCCAAACTGGTTCTTCCTCCTCCCTCATTCTAGAGAATGACAAGGGAAAAGTCTCTGACAGTGCCTTCCCTCTGCCAGGCTTTATGTCCTCTAAGGTCTGGAGATATCTTTCTGAAACACAGACTAGCCCCTCTGTCTCCTGCTGCAAGCCCACTCATGGCTCCCTGTTGCTCTCAGGACAGAGCAGAAGCTTCTAGCATCATACAGGAGGAGCCCCACCGTGAGTAGCCTCCTGCTCCTCCCACCCCATCCTCCAGCTTAGATCTCCTCCAGGTTTCCACTGAGGGCTATGTTGGCTCCTCTCCTGCTTCCAGACTGTGCACGTCAGGCTTCCCCATTCCCTTTGCCCAGCACCTTCTTCAGGGTCTTTATCCATTGTCTATGCCCTAAGCACCATGAAAGAAATAAGCAGTCCTTTTCATCTTACCAGAAGCCCACAGTCAGCCTTTCAGGAATGTCTGATGACTAGTGAATGAAGCACTGAAGAAATAATGAGTGAATGATACGCAAGTACAATGATGCAGAACCGGGACCATCAACGGGGGTGGGGGAAGAGGCTGCAGCAAGGACCCGGCAGTACTTTGTCTGCTGGTTCAGATTCCTGTTGGGAAGGGGTTGGAAGTTAATGTCCTGCAGTCACCCCTGTGGATCATAGGTGTGTGTGTTTATGTGTGTACCTGGGGATAGACAGGTAGGCCTCCTTGGAGGATATACTTGTTGTCATGTGACCTTAGTTCTTTTCAAGTAACCATTTTGAAGCCTTAAAAAAAACTCCTTTTAGGGATTAGGAAGCAGTACCCCAACTGATATCTGGGTGGCCAACATCTTGGCCACTATCTTTCTGGTAAGCACATCCCTTACAGAATGCTTGTCAAACACAGACTATTCTAGTTTGAATATTTCAGTTTGTATATGCACAACAGACATTCAACATAAGTAGAAACAGTGAATTCCTTCTGTGAACCAGGCACTGGGCTGGGCCTTGGAAGTCGGGTTAGAGACCTGGGAGATGAACTTCCTTCCTTTCCAGCTGCTCTGTTGCTGCTGATGCTGTGTGATACTCTTACTTATCCGTGCTTAGAGTGAACTATCCAGGTTTTCTTAGTGACAAGAAAATTATGGAAATTTAGGAATAAGGAACAGAGTATAATAGCAAGGAGAGGAGGGTAGAAACGGTTTCATAAAATTATCGACACAAAAAATGCTATCTGCAGGCTAATAAACAATACAACATGTACACAAGTATAGTATTAGTTCATTCTCATGCTGCTATGAAGAAACACTTGCGAGTGGGTAATTTATAAAGAAAAGAGGCTTAATTGACTCACAGTTCCGCATGGCTGGGAAGGGCTCAGGAAACTTACTATCATGGCGGAAGGCGTCTCTTCACGGGCGGCAGGAGCGAGAATGAGTGCTGAGTGAAGGGAGAAGCCCCTTATAAAACCACCAGATCTTGTGAGAACTCAGTATCACGAGAACAGCACGGGGGAAACGGCGCCCATGATTCAATTATCTACACCTGGTCCCACCCTTGACACGTGGGGATTATTACAATTCAAGGTGAGATGTGGGTGGGGACACAGAGCCAAACCATTTCAAGGAGCCTCCTTTTGTTTAAGGAATCATGGAGCTACTGTAATATTCTAATATATAATATTTTAGAGAAAAGAAATTTCCCCAAAATATTATGCCTGGGTGGCATTTCTCCATCCTTTTAAGTCTTAACTTGATTTTGCCCTAGGAGACTTCCTGTAGTGGGAATTAATTATTCATTATTTTTCTCTCCTATTACAAGCTTTCCACATACTCTTACACGAGAAAGGTGAGTGGCCTCTGTTAGAGAGTTCTTACATGTATTTGGACTTTACTGGAGCTGTCTCATTTTCTAAACTGTCTCAGATTCAGCGGCTATGGACTTTTTTTTTTCTCAGATGCATTTCCAGTTTCCTTTTCTCAGATATATATTGTCAAATCATCTAGCTCACTAGTGTTAATCACTCTGTTCCTAATATATAGCAATAAAAATCAGAAGAGAATCTTAGTAAGGTTACCTGCAGGAGTTCAAGAATGTGACGTGTTCTTAAAACTAGAGGACGAGGTTGATTTCAACCATTGTTAGCATTATGTTTCTGTGATCTTAGCCATGAATAAATTACTCAAGCATCACAAATATCATCAAACAACAACAACAACAACAAAATTCCACCCAGCAGCACCATTTGTATGTCTATTCCAGTGTCTACTTGTGTCAGTTTGTTTGTAACTATTAGAGGTCGGAGGTGAAAAGGACAGGTTAATTAGCCCAGCCGTCTATGCAAAACCATTTGCGTAGCATTTTCTCCATAGTAATTTTGAGAGAGAGAAAGGATAGACTTTACAACACATAACTGTGGGGAGGCAGGTTTACTATTAAACAGAGATAATAAATAAGTGTTGGAAACTACACACAGCAACTGGAGTTTAGCTTTTATGTGTCTTGGTTGCCAGCAGCTTTTACTACTTCAACAGATCCTCGCAACAATAATTAGAATTCAGGGGAAGCAGGAGGGGGGTGCTTAATCTTGCAAACCCGTTTCTGGTAGCACATCAGCACTGGTCTGGGGCATGGGGACACCTGGTTCTTCCTCTCTCCTGCCCCATGTTCTCCACACTGGCTGCGGCACACTTCTGTCTAGTGACAGATTTTAGAATAGCAAACCCTGGGCTGTATCAAGCGCCAAACAAAGGCCAAATGACACAATAAAAGCATCATTTATCTTTCAAAAACTTCTCTGCTACTGCCAAGAGGGAGGACCCACACCTGGGAAAAAACTGTCTTTCTTATATGGATGAAACCTGAATTGTTTCCACGTTGCTTTTTCCTTACCACCCAGGCCACTTTCCATCGGGTTATCAGGATACTCCTAAGAAGGGAAGTCGGAAGTGCCAGATGTTCTGTATCACCTTTAGTTAAAAACTAAGCCTCCTGTTACCAGGGGTCATTCAAGGTCCACTATTCCCTTTGGGAGTTACTTAAGGAACTGTGCGTCTCCACCTGCAACCCCAGGCCTCCTCTCCTGTTGAATTCCCAACAGCAGTTATTGCCCCTGTCCCCAATCCCCACACTAATGGGGGCCCTACAATTTAGGGCAGAGGCCATTTATTACAAAACCCTCTTGAAACCTGATCTCTCCACTCCTCCCCTAATTTTGGATGCACAGTTTAAGGGATCTCTTAGCACTTAGCGATTGCTTCTTTGATGTGGCAGATATCACAATTGTAATTAGGCCCTCATCAGACTGGGAGCTTCCTGTGGGCAGAAGCTGCATCCACAGAGCTTAGCAATGCTTTGTGTACTCAGTAGGCGCTCAGTAAGCCTTTGCATGGACTCTGGGAATATACCCCCTTTGAAGTACAACACACAGTAAAGTACAGACACCTGCAGTGAATGTACAGATCAATGGATTCCGCATGTGTATACACAGAGGTTTACAATGACCACCCAGAGGAGCGTTACAGAACATTCCCCCAGAGGCTCTCTTGACGCAGAGAATTTAATTGCCCTCCCTTCCATCCTGTGCAGGCAGGCTGGTTGCCAGTAAAGGGACATGAGATGCCCTGATTCATCCGCAGATAGAACCCTTAGGATGAGTGGGAAGGACCTGTCATTCTAGAGTAAAAGTAAGGCCAGGAAGATTAAAGAAAACAAAAATTTAAAAATGCAAATGGTGAAAAGCATAAACCATGAACTCTTTTCCTCTTTCCCCACACTCACCCAGAAGCACCGGGGCCAAAGAGATGGCATAGGAGGTCTCAGGATCACCTGCCGCCCCACCACTGCCGTGATGCTTGCTTGTGACGTAGAGGCCGGAGTGGCTCTGAAATCACTGTCTTCAAAGCAGGCCAAACCTTGCTTGACACGTGCACAGGTCCATTCTTTTGCTTTTCAGCTCCCCGCAGGCGCGGACCAACGTGCACTTCTGAGCCAGATCACCTAGCCACAAGGAGGAAGAGAGACAGAGAGAGAGAGAGAAGAGAGAGAGAAAGGAAGCACCTGAGAGAGAGAGAAAGAGATAGAGAGAGAGAGTCTGAGCCACATCACCTAGCCACAAGGAGGGGGAGAAAGGGGGAGAAGTGGAGAGAGAGACACACACACACACATACACAGAGAAGAGAAAGGAAGCACCTGAGAAAGAGAGAGAGCGTCTGAGCCAGATCACCTAGCCACAAGGAGGGAGAGAGAGAGAGAAGAGAGAAAGGAAGCACCTGAGAGAGAAAGAGAAACAAGAGAGAGAAAGGAAGCAGCTTCCCCCAACGCTGCGGCCTGGTGTTTCCTCCCGTGTCAAACGAGAGGGCCCCAGATTGATCCCAAATGCTTTTTCATTTCTCAATCCAACATTTACACCAGCACATTATTCCCAGGGTGCCCAAGACCTCTGCTATGGTTGTGCTGCTGTCCCTGCAAAGGCGCTGGGGATGGCCGAGGTGGGGGATGTTTCTGGGGGCTGAAATACGCTGCCAGGGGAAGGGGCGCCCCGATACCACCCTCAGTGGCTGCTGGTTGGGCGACCGGTGGCCCTGGCTTGAGAAAGTGAAAATGTCCAATCTATTTTGCCTGTAGCCTTGGGTCCCTTTTGGATACGGAACCGAGCAGCGGTCCTCCACTTCGCCCTCCCCCGCCGCTGCAAGGGAAAAGAAGGTCGTTTTCCTTGTGTCCCCGGAGAGGCCCTGGAGGAGCCCGGAGCCCCCCGGGGACGCCGCCCAACCCCGGCGCCCGGCCCCCGGCCCCGCCCCTGCGCGAACTCGCCCGCACCCACTTCCCCGGGCGGCGCCCCCTCTGCGGCCCGTGACGTCACAAGGCCCCCAGCCGCCTGCGCCCCGCGGTGCGCGCCCCGCTCCGGGACCTGCCGCCGCCGCCCCGCCCTCGGCGCCCACACCCAGGCGCGCCCGCGCGCGCGCCCGGCCCCGTCCCCGCCTGGAAGCCCAGCTGAAGATGGCGAGCCCGGCGCCTCCGGAGCACGCCGCGGAGGGATGCCCAGCTCCCGCAGCCGAAGAGCAGGCGCCGCCGTCGCCGCCGCCGCCCCAGGCACCCCCCGGAGAGCGGCAGCAGCAGGAGGAGGAAGCGCAGGAGGCTGGGGCGGCGGAGGGCGAGGGGCTGCAGGTGGAGGAGGCCGCGGGCCGGGCGGCTGCCGCGGTAACCTGGCTACTTGGGGAGCCGGTGCTGTGGCTGGGCTGCCGCGCCGACGAGCTGCTGAGCTGGAAGAGGCCGCTGCGGAGCCTGCTCGGCTTCGTCGCTGCCAACCTGCTGTTCTGGTGAGAGCTTGGGCAAGGTGGGGGCGCTCAGGAGGGCAGGTGACCTTGGGGCGCCCGGGGCCCCGGGGACCCAGTGCAGGGGGAGCCCGCGGGACACTGCGGAGGAAGAATTGTCAGCACTGCCCCACTTTCTCGGCCACCGGTCTCGAACAGGTAGACACTCACCGCAACTTTCCTCCGGACGCACGTCCCTATGAGCAGTTGTCGTCCTCCGTGTGGGGATCCAGCCTCAGATGCGAGGTGGTCGGCCGACCCGCAGGCACCTGCACCTACAGGTGTTCCCATCGTACTTGAAAACTTCGCCCCTGCTTTCTAAAACTCTCAGGTCTTGACCTGCTCGCCCAAGCTTGCGGGAGCAAACATGCTTGAACGTGTCTTCGTTCTTGCGGCCCCAGCAGGCATATCTGGACCAGATTAGGTACACGTTCAAAACGGTGCCACATTCATCAGTCACCTGAGATGGACCCCGAATGATTTGTTTTTCCTTCCCCTGAAGGGTTAGGTTTACTGTCTTTATTCCCTGATGAGAAAACGGGAGGCAAACAAGCAGGTGGAGTATGCCCAGCACCCACCCCCGGGTGTGCCCAGTGTGGAAAACAGGTATATTTTTAGGTGAAGTACAGGGAGAATACACGGGAATGCTCAGCTCTTGAGCAACAGGTTTGTCTCTCCAAAAGGCGCTCTTCACCAGGAAGGCCAGGGAAGTGTCTGTCTCCTTCGTTGAAAGTGGCGTCCTGTCATCCGTTACCACGCTATTGAGGGCGGAGAAAAGCTTTCTTTGTTTTCTAAGTGTTCTCATAACAAACATGACCCACACGGTGCAGAATAATCAGAGCTCCGGTGACAGATACCTTGTTACAGGACAGAGATTTCTGAACCTTAAAGTTGAGAAATAAATTGCACAAAATAGCCTGTCATTTTCTAGGTTAACTTGAGCAAGGTGAATATTTCCTGCAGATCTCTACTTGTCCTGGTGTTTTCTCTTAAAACGAGCTCTGTCTTGTCGGAGGTCCCTGAAAGTGGATTAACTTTGGGTCTCTTAGCTACCTGTGTTTCTAGAGTTTATTCCAAATCTATCTTATTATGGAGTTATGCGAGCACTCAAATAAGAAGGACATATTGTCTTATGCTAGATTGGGCAATAGTCTAATAGTCTTAGGGCTGTGTCTCACTAATGTTTTCAATGTTTTTAACATTTTATTTCTTAATTTTAAATTTTATTTCTTTAAAAATCGAATACAGTCTCATAGTTCAAAAGTTTTAAAGGTACAAAAGGGTAAGCATTTTGAAAATCTCTTTCTCATCCCAGTCCCTGGCCGCCCAATTACCTCACGGAGGCAACCAATGTTACTAGTTTCCTGTGTCTCTTTCCAGATAGTGCACATTTCAGCAAATACACCATATTCTATGCAAATTGTGGAATACCATATGAGCTCTCCCTTTTCCTAGTATTTCTTGGTGATTGCTTCCTTGTTCTTTTTCAGCTGCTTCAGAATTCTATTGTAAGGATGTCTCAAATTACTTAACCTGTCTCCTACTGAGGCAGTAATGTTTCCAAGCTTTTGCTATTTCAGCGTTATAACTAATGACCCTGTACATGCATAATTTTGCATGTATGCAAGTATTTTAGAGAACTTCCCAGAAGTGGAATTGCTGGGTCAGATGGCATGTGCACTTGTAATTTTGATGGCTATCACCATATTGCATGCAGTTCCTTAGGATTCTAACAATTGATACTCCCACCAGCAATGTGTGTGACTGCCTACTTTGCTACACCCTTGCCAAGAATATTTTATGAAACTTTTTGATCCTATAAATCTGATAGGTGAAAAAGACTATCCCAAAATGTTTTTATTTTGCAATTCTCTGAGCATTTTATCTTATGTTTAATAACCACTACAGTTACCTTTTATCAGCATTTTTGTTTATAAATAACCTGTCTATTTTTTTCAAGTAGGCCATTGTTCTTTTCCTTACTGATTTATAGGAGCTGTTTTTATATTAAAGACTTTAGCCTATTTCCGTAACATGAGTTGCAAACTTTTTTTTTCTATGATGTTTTCTTTAATGACACCTATTGAAAATAATGTTTTTGCATAAAATAATTGAAAGGCATATTTGGTAGTATTCAGGGGTGTTTTCTTCCAACCATTTTATTTATGACTGATGGAGAGGAAAACATTGGCCAGCCATTCCACCTAGATACAGCCTTCTCCTTATCTGTTTTATTTCATCTCCTGTTTGTGGCATCTGCATTCCATGCATGTATTTTCTTTGACAATAATGACTGTCCCGTTCTTTAAATTCAGAATTACTTGTTGCTTTTGCATTATAATTCATTGGAATTTATGACCCATTTATTAATGTCATTAAAGTTTTGTTTTTTTTCCCTTTTATTTGTTGCTCTGGGGGTTAAAATGATTTTCAAGGACATTACTTTTTTTTAAATAATGTATGTCTTCTCAACTGATCTTAAATTATATGGTACTCTAACCTTCCGTGTCTTGGGAACTCTAAAGCACTGTATTTTCTATGAGAAAAAAAAAAATCAGTTTTAAAACTATGAGGAACCCAACCAAATCTGTCTTAAGCAATGGGATGTTGTTTTCACTTTAATTGATGTTATCTCAGTTTTGTAGAAATAAACTTTTTAAAGGGATATTTTTGAATGATTTAGCATTCAAAAATAATGACTAATGACTGGCATTAGCAGTGGGTTTTAGGAGTCTGAATTTGACTCAAAAGCTTCAACATTTATTACCTGCCCATTATCTGCAAGATTTTGGGCAAAAATTATGACACAGCCGTAACCAACGGGTATAACTCAAAGTTGCATGAATTAAGTGAGGTGGAAGATTCGGGAAAGGATAATTCGTTTTGATATGGTTTTTGGGAACAGTGGTATTGTGGATGGAAGAGATTGTGGGGTTCTTGCTCAGAAGATCATGCTTGAACCAGACCTCAGTGGACAGGAGTGATCTGGGAGATCTAGTACATGATCAAGAGCATTCTAACCCTGAGGAATACAATGAACACAATAGCATCTTGAAGGTGTACCTAATGTTTCAACCACCACACAGTGTGCAGATGCAATGGCAGCATGGGTTGGTAGAAAACGTGGTGGGAGATAAGGTTGGCTAGGTGGTTTGTGGGGTCAGTAGTTGCCTCAGATGCTATGTTGTATGTTTGGATTTGTTTTTTCTATAGGCAACAGGGACCAAAACAATACTTTGCAGAAGTGTCCACAAATAATTTAATGGATAAGTTTATTGTGGTTCATTTATTTATTATACATTGTGATACCATAAAACAATGAAAATACAGCTTTAGCAACAATAGGGATGAATTTTACAAATGTAATTTTGGTCAAAAGATGCACAGAATAATATATGCTGAATGATTCAATTAAGTTTTAAATGGTGCAGAAACTGAACAGGATTGGTCAGGGATACACACATACGAGATAAAACTACAAAGAAAATAAAAGACATTCTCGAATCAGATACATAAGGCAGACACACACATCTGCATTCTTATCTATGATGTATTTTATGAAAAATACTAAAATATGAAAAAATGCTAAAAAACGATATTCACTGAGAACTCAGAGGGGTTTGGTAAAATAGAGGCCACGTAGAGTGCCTGTCTCAAAAAGCAGGGTTCCCACAACAGAAATAGATTGGGCAAGAGTCGCATAGTTTTGTGGCGATGAGGGGCCTCAGATAATAATATCTCACTCATTTCACCAATGAAGAGCATGTTTTTAGAATTTTTTCCTTCATTTAAAATTTTATTTATTTAAAAATTAACTAACGTAGCCTTACAGTTCAGATGTTTAAATGTACAAAAGGGTAAACATTTTGATGTCTTCCCACGCCTGTCCCTGTCTACGCAGTTTCCTCTCAGAAGCAACTGATGTTATACTTGTAAGCACATCCTGAAATAGAATGAGCCCAATGTAATAGAAAATGTTGGGTTTTTTTTTTTTTTTTTTTACAATATCAACTTTTTGTGGTTTACCACCAATAAAATGCACATACTGTAAGTATACAGTCATATGTACTATATATGCTATATATGCCTGTGTAACCGCACTAGCAGTCGAGAGCTAGAATATTTCATCACCCTTAAAGGCTTCTTTGCATCCCTCTTCTGTCAGCACCCACCCCTGGGGACTGATCTGTTTTTGTCACTGTTGACTAGGTTGGACTTCCCTAAAGCTTCGTGTTATTGTGTTATTTAGGGTAATGTCTTTTTTTTTTTTTCCTGAGATGGAGTCTCACTCTGTCGCCCAGACTGGAGTACAGTGGTGTGATCTCGGCTCACTGCAACCTCCACCTCCTGGGTTCTAGTGATTCTCCTGTCTCAGCCTCCCGAGTAGTTGGGACTACAGGCACCCACCACCACGCCTGGCTAATTTTTGTATTTTTAGTGGTGATAGGGTTTCACCATGTTGGCCAGGCTG